GCCTTTATTTTCAGTTACAGTTCCTCCTCAGGGCAGAGGATAGCACTGTTACACAAGTTTTTCTCAATCTTCTGAGATAATTTACTTGGCAGGAGATATTGTGTTTTTGTTCCTTTCTCTTCAAAACACCCCATAAGTGTTCTGCTGGTTTCAAGTCAAGTTTGCCTCTGGCCATGTCATGGTTTTTTATTTTTCCTTAGAAATTCTTGGTCGATTTAGCAGCCTGCTTGAAAATGTTATGATTTAGAAATTTTCCTCCTCTGCCAAACCAGGAGACTTGGGGCTTGGCAGTTGATATGTTGGCGTATCCACAAGCACCCATATACAGGCCTGAATCATCAATTATGATATTGATTATAAAACTTTATTTACAGAAACCCGTTTTCAGATGTAATTGGACAAACTAGCACAAATTTAAATATAAGGTTTGTTTATAATATTTAGATCCTTCGCAGACAGTGATTTCCTGAAGTCTAGAAGCCATGGACATCACCAGATGCTGCGTTTCCTCCCTTGAGATGCTTTGTTAGGTCAGTTGTTACTTACTTGCTCGTCTCCCTGCTTTCAGTACTTGAAAAGCATGCTCTGTCAGGTTGAACTCAGGTTGAAAAGTATCCCATTTCTTTTTTCCTTGAGAAACTCTTGGTTTGCTTTTGCTGTTTGCTTTGGGTAATTTTCTCTGTCCAATCAGTTTCTTCAGTGTTTGGCTGAATCTGAGCAGAGAGTATAGCCCTGTATACTTCAAAATTCATCCTGCTGCTTCTATATATGTCCGTGCCATAACATTACCTCCACTGTTTGACAGACAATGTGGTACACCGTTTCTCTCTTTCTCTACCAATCAGTCTGGTACATTTATTCTTGTTTTATCCACCCAAACATGTTTTTTGTTTGTATTCCAGTACTAGGCATGTTCACCTTTGTCTTCTTGAGTGTAGCCAGTGGTTTCTACCTTATTTTCAAACCTCTGTATTTCCTTTCAGGAAGGCACCAGATGATTGTTGACCTGAACAATGATGGCCTACCTCTTTGAGACTGCTCTTGGCTTGGTTAGATGTAGTGAAATGGTTTTATTAATCCAGAAAATAACTCTGTGATCATCAGCTTTAGTTGTCTTCACTGCTCTTTCAGTCCTTTTGACGTTGCTTTGCTGTCCAGTAAATTAATTCTTCTTAAGAATGAACCAAATTATTGTTTTGGCCACTCTTGAAGTATTTACCTTTGCAATGATAGTTTTATTTTGGTTTTAAACCTATTGATGGCTTCCTTCATTAACATCTCTTTGGACCTCTGGACAGCTCCAGTGAGTTTGCAATGTTAAAAAGAAACTGCAATTCTTTTATTGTCTTAACTAAAGATGGAATAACAGAACAGGCCTCACCGGAACATGAAACTGTCTATCAGTCAGTTATCTCATTTTGTTTTAACTTCTCAGATGCATAAAAATGTGATTTTTAAAGAGTTCATGTAACATTTATGGAAAATCTCTTGAATTAAATTTGAAAGGTTTTCACTTCAATCACATCTGGATTGTTTGATTTAAAGCCACCGTGGTGGTGTAAAGAGGGAAAACTACAAGAAATGTGTCATTGTCCAAAACCGTTTATCTCAGTCTCATCTCTCCATACAATTTTCTCTCCATATTTATCAGGCTTCTTTTCATCTCCAGCAAAGTTTATTCCTGCATTTCTGTCCCGAAGAGCAATTAACGGTTTAATTTTATACAACGCCCTTCACAGTGTCTGAACTGTCACAGAAACTCAGATCATCACGATAACCCCTGTGCCAAGTCTGAAGCCCTTGTCCATTTGAGGACAGACACTGCAGCTCTGATTAATAGGCGCTATGGCATGCTCTATACCTCCTGATCACTGCTGTTTTCGCTGACTTTTAGCAGCTCCGTGATCTTCCCATATCCAATTCCATCTTTATGAACTCTTAAAACCTGCTTTTTTTCCCACAATTCCTTTGATATTTTCTCCTATTTGTAGCCAGATTATACGCAGTTCTTTTGTTCAAAGTTTCAAATTCATTTGATAGCAGTTTTGCTGCATTTAAGCCATTTTATATCCACAGATGCACGCAGTTATATTTCAGTAATCAAAGGTTTTCAAAATTGGTACATTGATCACAGGTGTATTTTCTTTTTTGGGGTCTTCCTAAAATAGTTAGGGTTTTTTCTTGTTCATAAAAGGAAAACCTCTATTTGTGAACTTATTAAAGGTAATACAATATTAAATCGTCTGAAAAACGTGATGTCCATAAAGGGGTGTAATCACATACTTCTGTTAGGTACTTTATCGAGTCACTTAGCCATAACTTCTGTTTGTCTTTGTGTCTTTGCTAAGATTTTTTGAGTGAGTTGTATTGTTCCTTTATGAAACAGAGTTTTCTTTACAATTAATAGATGAATGTTAATAGTTAAGCACTTTGCATGATGCTAAATACTATCCGGTCTTTAAGTCTGATGTCATTAGCTGTTTCTGGTTCCAAACTCTGCTTCAGCTCCCAAAGTCAAACGAACACAGTGGCATCACTGAGAGTTAAAAACGGTCTAAATTCTTTCATCTTTAATAAGTTGAACATCCAGGCATCCATGAAAACAGAATTTATGAAATTTAACTGAGTTAAAGTTAGCAGACGGTTAGCTCGCTAGTTTCCACCTAAACATAATATACCATGTTCTGACTGAGATTTGTGGAAAAAATTTTAGACAGGAAAGTAAGCAGCAGTGACGTTTGTGGGGTTACTAAAGTTGGGCTAGCTGGTATATAATGATGTGCTACGTAGTGGCTAGCTACACAGCTAGCATAATATAAACACATTAGCACAGTGAAGCTGGAGGATGAACGTTAACTTTTTTCCACTTGATGAAAGCTAACGTGTGGTTTCCCGATTGTTAGGGACAAATACAGTCACATGGCAGGATGCTGTAAAAGGACCAAACTTCAGTCGGGAAAACAACTGAGATAATCGATTCGCAATAGAGGCTAGTCATTAATATACTGCTGCATGGGCTGGGCTGTAGTTACATCGTAAGGTTTTAAAAACTGAGCTTTAAAATGATTAGTGGTAATAAAAAACACATCAAAACGGTAGTGATCACCACCTTGTTTTAGGGGCTTGTTCAGATTAAACAGAACAAAATACAAAGCATTAAAACATGTCAAAAATGCAACAGCTTTAATAAACGCAGAGAAGTTGGACCCGGAAACAGAGTTCATACGTCATCAATTAAAAACCGGATAGCTGATGTTTATGAGTTATCCTGGTAGTTGCAATGCATTTAGAGTAAAGGCCTGTAAATATTTTACTGTAGTAAGGTCATTGTTACCACTTGAAGATAGTTGGACTGGATTTCAGCTAGTGAAGATAGGACACTAACTGTGGATTCACAATGTGAAACTGATGGTTTTCATTTTCACATTTTCATTCATTCTAGTGTCTACATGAGTAAATAAATCAAAAGGCAACATTGTGTCCGAAAGTGCATCTGTGGAAGTCAGAGGTCATGAGTCTCGTGTATCCAACCATGTGGTGAAAGATATCTCAGGGAGAAGGTTTTTACATCACATATCATTAAACGTTAATTAGTAAAGTGGGCTTCAGGGACCTTGCTTCCCATCTGGCTGTCTCTCACATACCTTGTCCTTCACATTTCGTTGAGAAGACGAAAGTAGGAATGGCTCCCACATCAGGGCAGGACTGCAAGTGTATTAATAATGCAATTTGTGTTAACGACAGAACATCTGCCCCAGGTTGCTGTATGGTTAGCCACAGGTGCACCAGCTGTCTTTTACCATTTATCCTCCTAATCTCTTCAGCTGACGTCAGAGTTTAAATCGCGAGAAGGAAGCATCATGTTCTTTTTATTAAAGTTAATTAAATGGGACATTTTATTTTCTTGTTTAAATCAAAGACAAAACTTTTCTTTCTCCACCAGTTTCTTCATTTACTCCCTTCAGAAAAACTGGTTTTACACCAGTTTGATTCCCAGATATAAAAGTACAAGGCATGAAAAATAAGATATAAATGGAAAAAAAATCAAATACATGCAGCAAAAAGCTCCAAGGAACACAAAATTATTAATATTAACGACATTTATTATGAATATTAAATACTAACTAATGTAGAAGAGCTTTCCTCCCAAACTCCTCTACAATTTGGGAAGAAGATAATGGAGGGTATAAGGATTTTTTAGATCACACAAGCAAACACACATACATATGAGTGTGGGGATCCTGTGATAAAAGGCTGAAACACCCACTATAAGCTCGGTGGGTGACATCACTAAATGGCCATCATCATCAAAAAAGCAATCCTCCAATTCCACCTATTACAGTAAGTGCTATTAAGCAAACACAGTGCGTAAAATCACTCTCCTGCTTACAGAACCCAAGTTTACTTTCTTGAAATTGTTGTTTTTGCTCAAACATCAGTCCACATTCAAACCTATACTTCTATAAGGACATAAGGCAAATGATTGCTGAAGGCAGGAGGCTAGAACCAGCTTCTTTGCTGGTATTAGCGTTGTTTTTTAAATGCATAAATGACCATTGGGTCTTTTCAGTAGATGTATTCTAAAGCAGCGGTCCCCAACCTCCGGGTCGTGAGAATTGAGGCTCAGGTGTTAAATTTATGTTTTTCATCTGTATTTTTGTTTTGATTGTTTTTATCAGTTTCCCTGGGTCTTTTTACCATGTGTTATGAATACATCTTCTTTTTTTTGGTACCGGTACTTGTTTTATTTTGTTGAATTTATCCGCAACACCTTAAAGGCCGGCCCTTGAAATATTGTTGGACATAAACCGGTCCGTGGCGCAAAAAAGGTTGGGGACCGCTGTTCCAAAGTAACTGGCTAGTTCGACATTGGTCATCTGTCTCAGGTGCTGAAAGTGCTATGTTCCAATTGCAAATCCCACCTATAAACCATCACTGAAATGCATAAACAAACGTTACAATTCCTGTTAAAGCATGGAGGGTATATGTTGGCTACTTACCCAGCGTGTCAGTGGATCCCTGCAATTCAAAGAGAAAGCAGAATATGAGTCAATGTCAGGATACAAACACCAGCTGTGTTGAGAACTGTGTCTTAGGGATGAATTAAAGAAAGCAAAACTCTTATTCTGTCTAAAAATGGAACTTCTATCTCAGTGTACTTTAAGCGATTCTCCTGTTAAAGTTTCCTTTGCAGCGTGAAGAACAGGCTCTTCTCGCTTCGCTTTGCTGCGTCTCTCCTCCGTTAGTGTTGCTTCATCAGCGGAGACACTGTTCTCTCCACCTAGTGCACACTGGGCCTACAACCAGCACAGTGTCTCATCATGTTGAGCAAAATGGACACAGGAGTATCTAAAGGCTTATCACTTGCATTGTATTACCCAGAATTCCTTTTGCCTATGTTATGTTCATCTCTCTTGCTCCTGATCCACATTTGGCATGGCTGGATGGTCATTTTGCCAGAGGAGAATTGGAAGAGATTGTGTGCAGCCCCTTCAGTATGCTCTCCCTCCGAGCCTCTGGATATTTCAGCGGAGCAGGGAAGCAGCTAGGCAACAGTCTATGAGAGAGGTAATTGGTTCCTGGTGATGAGACGAATTGACATTCATTTGGCCACAGTGCTGTTTTTATTTCCCCGTCTGCGCCCTCCGACGAACGCAGAAGCCAAATCGGGCCAGCGTTGAAGCTGAAATGCCTCGGCTATTTCTCGAATAAATATCAGCATGTGTTTTAAATGGAAGTCAAAGTGAGACGGGATTGTCCATCCAGAGTGAAGGAGAGTGGCTTCTCCTCACACACACTTTGATGGGTATCTCTTACCATCGTGCTTGAGCGCATCCGAGCATTCCTTGCCTCCAGACGCAGCGAAGAGAAAAGAACACATCCTCCAGAACTGACAGGGTTTATTCTTTTTACTGTCAGAGCTATTTGTAAAACAACTATTCTTTGGTGGCAATTCTTTAAATATTAAAAAGTGAGGTTCTAGTTCCTTACTTTTTTATTTTTTTCGAAGCTGGAAATCTCTGCCAGAAGCTTTTACTCTGTGAAAAATCAAACGCAGGTAACACCAAAATAGACTGACAGCTTCTCTGGGGTTTATGGATGCGGATATTCATGCGGTGAGGGGGCTGCAGGGTGGAGGGGTGGATGGGGAGGAGTAACAAACATTTCAAACATCACCTTCACGGCGTGGCATAGTGGCCCCGCCGTGCACGCTCCCCGTCAAGCGCAGCCGCCGTCGCACCGTGCTGCACGTTTGCGGCTCTATCGCAAAAATTCATTAACAAAGCGGAGCCGAGACGAAACAGGCGCCTTTTTTTTCTGCCTCATCGGTAAGATTCAAACTGAGCGTGAGTTACGTAAGCGCTGCTAAATTTATCAATGCTCATTTTATGCAAAGCCTGAGCTCCCAGGCGCAGACTGTGTGATGTTCAGAATGGGAGAAAGGCTTTTGTTTCCCCTGCAAGCCATCTGATTTCTATTTCCGTGTCTGAAAAACAAGATTTTAAAAAGGTCATGCTAATTTTAGCCGTGTTTTCGTGAAGGAGAAGGGAGATGCTTTTCTTTTTCGTTCAAACGCAAGAGACAATCAAAGCAGACTTCAGTCAGATTACAGCTGAGGTTACAGCGCAGAGGATTACAGTCTCGGGTGAATGGCAGGCACATGCTACTTCTCCATATGCTGCTTTCTTCTGTCACTCTCGCTCCTCTTCAGTGTGTGAGAAAGAGACGGAGAGGAGGACTGACAGTGTGTTTTTCCGGGGTGTACCTCAGTGGAAAGAGTGTGCAGGAGTCTCTCAGTGTCTGTTTCATTCACAGTGAAGTCTAAAACTGAAGTGGTGATTTCCAGATCTCACGCAGGATCTTTGTACTTGAACAAGGCGGCTTTCGTGCTTTTTGAAACTCTGTCTGCCTCCTTCGTACACGCTTCTGACGACCTCCACTGGAAGCATTAACTCATTAAGCTGTATGCTTAACCCCTGCACTTTAATCCTCATCCTGACCTAAATTTAATCCTATTTCTGCCAGTTGGCAGGTTATTTTCCTTTTTTCTCCCCACTGCTTCAAACCTTTTTTTTTTATGTTCGTAAGTCTTCCATCATTTAAATCCACTTATCATGCTCAATACACTGCACACAGGAAGTCTTTCACAGGAGTAAAGTGGAGCTCAACTTGTGATGGCAGTGAAGCCACTGGCATTTTGATCTGTGACATCTTTAAACTCTTTTAATAACACAGTAAATGGTAAATGGCCTGTATGTGTATAGCGCTTTACTTAGTCCCTATGGACCCCGAAGCACTTTACACTACATTCAGTCATCCACCCATTCACACACACATTCACACACTGGCGAGCTACATTGTAGCCACAGCCACCCTGGGGCGCACTGACAGAGGGGACACTGGCGCCACCGGGCCCTCTGACCACCACCAGTAGGCAACGGGTGAAGTGTCTTGCCCAAGGACACAACGACCGAGACTGTCGGAGCTGGGGCTCGAACAGGCAACCTTCCAATTACAAGACGAACTGCCACGATCCCCCGATAAGTACTAAGTAAGTACTAACACTTCATTTTCATGTCAAAACACTCACTGTCCCCTTTTACAGAAAAGTTAAAAACAATAAGAATAAACAAAAATGCCCATCAAGTCAATAAAACAAATTTGCAATATGTAAAGTCAGAGGATTTATGTGACGGTGGAACACGGTCAGGAAATGAAAATGTTTTGGAAATGGAGAGAGACTCAGTGGCATGAATGTTTGGCTCTAGACCCCATGGTAGTGAAACGGGACGGGGGGGGGGAGAGATGGAGAGAAGATGGAGACCTGAGAGTACGAGTGGGTGCGTTGACATGCAGCAGTTCACAAAGGTATTTAGCTAGAAGCCAGTGGAGCTGGTGAAGGTCAGGTGTGGAGGGATGTGAGCATCAGAGTTCTGGACCAACTAAAGTTTATGTATGAAAAGCATCAAATGCTCTGGGGTCTTTTGTTTTTACCTCTTCAATCTACAAACATCATCACTGCATCTTACACTGTCAGCAACGCCAGTACTCAAAACTGGAACCTTCATATGATGCTACTACTCAGCCACTGTCCTATCATTTACTTCACCTATTTTAAAATGTTATTTTATATATTCATTTATATATGTTTTATTAAAAACCCCAAATAAAACATTAAGGGTAACAGACATGCAAGGAAAATAAATGCATTCATATACCTTGATCAAGAAGTATTAGCGCATCTTGTGCAATTTGATTTTGAAATCTCACAGCAAAGAATAAATCTAAACCATTGAAACACGATGAAAGGACAAATAGTTTTATCTCTGGCATTAATAACATAAAATGACCTTTTACAGAAGGGTTTGACTTCAGTAAAGTTTATCAAGGACGGAATGATAAAACAGAATAAAATAGTCTTTATTCTGTCAGTATTTATAGATGACATGCAGTGCTCTATTACTCACTGAAGCCTGTATACATAGATTACATTCATACAGTTCTAACAAGCTTCAGTATGACCACCTTTATTCTTCAACACAGCTGGAACTCTGTTAGACAAGCTTTCATATCTTTTCTTTAAGTAGTAGGAATGGTTCATAGAATAGAATAGTTCAGGAATAGTTCTCTGGGCTTCTTGAAGGACAATCAATGCTCTTCTTTTGATGTTGGCTGCCTTTTGTTACAATTTCTGTCAACATGATCCCACACTGCTTCAAGGACTGGGCTCTGGGGAGGCCAATCCGTGATCCCAGTTTTCCACTGTGTGTTTTTCTATTGTATTAGGTTTTCCTGGATTTAATTTCCAGTTTCAGATGCTGTTCATCCACTGTATATAGAGTTTTTTTTAGGCCCACCACTTCTTTTATCCTCCACTTGTCTGGTTTTCTTTCTTTTTTTGAGGGCACACAGTAGACCATGCTGAGATACTCTAAGAGTTCAGCAGATAGCTCATGGAAATCATCCTGACACTGTAAAAATATAATCAAAGGCTGTTATATCTGGCATTCTTCTAACTTAAAACTGGGTACAAATTATATGGACTAATCTTGTCTCAAATGAATGAAGATGGATATGTTTATATCAGATTGCTAGTAGCAAAGTTTAACAAAAGATTGGAGATTTAAACTTGTTTCTTTAAGTTTTCTTAGACACAGGACAGATTTATGCCTTGAGTTAGTCGCCTTTTTATGATTGAATGATTCAGTCCAGGTACAACAATTGGACTGAAAATGAATTAAAAAGCAAAAGAAAAACTTAAAAAAAACAAGTGATGGGTGTGTAATAGTATGATGGAACCAATTCCACGAAGCTCCCGGCGTGAAGTTTTTGTGCTGATGTTAATGTCGCAGGAAGTTTTGGACCCCTGCAGGCAGGAGAGCATTGACAACCTTTATATACTATGCACCCCAGCACTCAGTGGCATTGTTCTGAATGTTTACATGATCTGCCACTTCATGGCTGAGTAGCTGTGCTTCCTAAACAATAACACCACTTAGAACTGATGGTAGAATACGACTGGTTGCAATGATGGCGTCCAATTACAGCACCATGCTCAAATTCAGTGAGCTCTTTAGACTGACCCATTCTTTCACAGAAGGTTGTATAGGCAGCCTGCATGGCTGGGATGCTGGATTTTATATACCTGTTGTAATGAGACTGAAAACACCCAATACCTTTATGCACATAGTCTACAGCTTTGACACACTAACAAATTTTTAATACTCCATAATAATCCATTTTCTTAGACGCTCAATGAATTCACAGGGGTGCTGGAGCCTGTCGCAGCTGTCACAGGGTGCAATGTGGGATACACCCTGGAGAGGTTTGCCATCCATCATGGGGAAGTCTGAATTCTAAGGAATCCAGATCCAACAGGTCTCAAGCAGCCAGTCCTTAGAACTGCCAAAGTCCTAAAGAATATTTTAAAATTCACTGTCAGTTGTTGAATGGCCTAAGAAAGATTTCTAGAGTTGAAATCAGAGTATGTAGTTTTAATGTTATATTTTTAGGTTACA